GGATGCCAAAACCATTTAACCTCAAAATCCTCTCATCTATATGTATCTACTTAACTATGTGCATATTCTTAGCAAATAAAAATGTGATAGAAACTGCATGCCAGGAAGTGCTAGCTTTTAACCTTTGTGTTTTTAACCAGCAGATATTGTTTTAAAAAGGTATATCTGAATATACTGTGATGCAAATTTTCAATGAAATAACTTCAGCCCTGAGACATGATACCAAAGTTTAAAAATCCCAAGTATATAACAAAACACCAAATTTTAAAATTTTCACTTTTAACATTTCCTTTTACTTTTCTGAAGATACATTTAAGATGCACTGTTACAAGGTAAACATTGAAACTGAATATATTTGAATTCAAAATTACAGGTTATAATTACTTTTTACTCAAATATTTTAAGTAATTAACAATTTAACCACAGCATTTTATCAGTCTCGTACTATTTAGTAATTCTATTTTTATATCAAAGAAGCATACATTTTTTTGTCCATTTTTAAATAATTAGTAAATCAGTAGAGCTTGCTTATATTGACTAGCCTTGTGAACAATATAAGCAACTCTAATGGACTATTTAGAAAACGGTAATGTTCTAATTAGAAAATGCCAACATCAACAATGTTATTTGTTAAAAGCAAATGATAATTACTTTTAATCAACAAAATACTAAATTGACTACAAAAAAGAGAATAAAGGAAAGCAACTCACCATTAAACAATAGTGACTGACTCTTTTCTATGACCTGACACAATGTTAGCAACAGGGATAATATTTACATAAAAGATGGTGGGCATGGGCTATGTGTTTCACTTCTCTATGTTCCTAAGGTCAGTGGATGATTCAATAAGGAATTTGTCACCTTTATGAGTTCTTTGTTTGACTTAAGAAATGGATACTCATTTTGTTTAAGGGTTGAGGTTAAAGGGGTGGGTCAAATAGATTACCTGAAATAAATATAAACTCACATTCTTTTTCTCCCATATTCCAGAAGTGTGTTTAAATACAACTCATTGTGGAGAAAAGAAATTGTTAAGTATGAATCAATTTTATAAAGTTAACTGTCATATTGTGATAATGAAAGATGATAGTCTGTAAGCAGAGTTCTGGCCAGTGTTTTGTATATTTAAAAGGTCTATGCAAAACGTTTGTGATAAATAAAGATTAGCCTTTTTTTTTTTTTTTTTTTTTTTTTTTTTAATTTTTGAGACAGAGTCTCACTCTGCTACCAGGCACCAGGCTGGAGTGCAGTGGCGCGATCTCGGCTCACTGCCACCTCCACCACACGGGTTCAAGCAATTCTCCTGCCTCAGCCTCCCGAGTAGCTGGGACCACAGGTGCGCATCACCACGTCCAGCTAATTTTTGTATTTTTTAGCATAAGAGACGGGGTTTCACCATGGTCTTGATCTCTTGACCTCGTGATCCGCCCACTTCGGCCTCCCAAAGTGCTGGGATTACAGGCTTGAGCCACCGCGCCCGGCGAGATTAGCCTTTTTTTTAAAAAAAAGGTAAAATTGTGCAACAATTTTACCTTTAAATTTTTATGATATGGCTCCCTGCATTTGAGAATGGCTATAGACAGTGATAACTGAAAGATCAACTTATAGTCCTTTCCATCCTAAGTATGGAGGTAGAGTGTTCTTCTGTATGCTTACTATTTGTAGTCTGTTACTATTTCTGACCCTGACCCTTGAATTCATTGCCTTTGCTCAGAAAGAATCACTCAAGAGTTTAAATTACACTTCTGCTAGACATTTTAAAGAAGATATTATACTCATTACACAGTCACAGTTTAGTTGAGGATGGAATCTTTAACTGTGACAATGAAGGATATAAAACAACTTTTGGTATAACCAAGGATATAATACAACTCAAAAATTGTCTATCATAATCTTCTCAGCTGTTAACCATTGTATGATGTCATATTTACATACAAATGACTGAATATCTTCAACAGCTTAATAATCTATAAATCTGTATTACTATAATTCTTTTGAAAGCCAGAGCTTATATGACACAAAATAATAAAATCTATGGGTTTTACGAAGTAATATTCTGTGGCTCAAATATTCTTTTTTTTTTTTTTTTTTTGAGACGGAGTTCACTCTTGTACAGGCTGGAATGCAACAGCATGATCTCAGCTCACTGCAACCTCTGCCTCCCAGATTCAAGCGATTCTCCTGCCTCAGCCTCCTAAGTAGCTGAAACTACAGGTGTATGCCACCATGTCTGGTTAATTTTGTATTTTTTTTTTTAAGTAAGGGTTTCACCATGTTGATCAGGCTGATTTCAAACTCCTCACCTCAGGTGATCCACCCTGCTTGGCCTCCCAAAGTGCTGGGATTACAAGCATGAGCCACCATGCCTGGCCTCTAGCTTTCAAAAGAGAGAATCACAATAATACAAAAATTTAAGCTTGTTAAAATAACACTGTCTGTATCCCAAATAGCTCCTTAAACAAGTTAAATAAAATGGCACAATAAATTTGCCTGAGTTCATGTATGCCTTAACAAATAACCTTCAGAAAAAAAGTTAATCATTTTTTCTATATTAATCATTTCCTTTTCCCACTGTTCATTATCTTTTTAATTATTAATGTTATTTTGTTTTAAATTAGTACAAACACAGTTAAGTCTAATCATTTATTTAAACAAAAACATTGGCTGGGGCGAAGTGGCTCAGGCCTGTAATCCCAGCATTTTGGGAGGCCAAGGCAAGCAGATTGCTTGAGCTCAAGAGTTTGAGACCTGTCTGGGTAACACGGCGAAACTCCGTCTCTACAAAAAAATTAGCCAGGTGTGGTGGCTCCCTCCTGTGTTCCCAACTACTTGTCAGGCTGAGGCAGGAGGATTGCTTGAGCCTGAGAAGCACTTGCTGCAGTGAGCCGAGTCCCTGCCACTGCACTCTGGTCTGGGAAACAGAGTGAGACCCTGTCTCAAACAAACACACACAACACCCCCCCCACACACACTGTTTGAAAAATACATGCGATAAACTGTTATTTTAAAACCTTTTTAAAAATGCTCTCCAAATTGCAAACCTAGAAAATTTAAGGGATCAAAATAAACTAGACACGAATTCAAAATTCGAACTGGCAAAACACACTTGGGCTAAAAAGATTACAAATTTCTCCTCTTAAGGATGCAACTATACTATGTCAATATATTTATAATAATCACCAAAGTTAGAATTTAAAAAAAACCCTCACATCTCAGAAAAAGAAATCATAGTGAAACTAATTTCTGGATGCCTTCTTCCTACGGCATCTCATTATTTCACTGGGAACCTTCAAAAGGCAATGAATGGCACTTGCTTCCCTGAGGTGTTAAATACACCATCCCCTCATCAGCTTCCCTGTCCTATTTCTAGTTTTGACAGAAAGAGGAGTCCCTTCACAAACAAGGTTAGCTCTGTAACAAAGTAAGCAAAGGAAACAGCGCACTTGGAAACTTCCAACACCTTCGAAGAGAGAGCATAACTCTCCAACTTTGTTGTGCTCTCACAGACACATTCCCCACTCACAGGGAAAATGCTGTTTTAAAAACTTTCCCTTTTCAACGAACTGCCATGCTATAACATACTCCCTGCTACTATTTGCAGTTTAAAGGGGAGCTATAAAATATTCCCTGCTCCCATTTGCAATTATGTGAACATAATTCTCACTAGAAGTTTCACCGAGATGGCAGCTATGTCACCTGCAAAGCCCTTGCAGCTGCAAAGGCGGACTCTGGACATGGGAAGCCATGGCGGGCACCCAAAGTCTGACCAAGTGGAGAGCAGCAGGCACACCGGCAGCGTGAGGGAGGGAAGCTACTCGGCCCTCTTTCCACCTCACGCCCCAAACCCTACTCCCCACAACTGATGCCCCCAATCCTCCTCCCACACCTGATACCCTCAGCTCTCTGTCCACCTCCCTTTCTCAACCCTCCTCCCCTAACCTCAGGCCATCAACTCTCCTCAGTCCACCTCACACTTTCAACCCTCCTGCTCCCACACCTCACTCCCCCAAACCCTCCTCCCCTTACCTTACGCCCTCAACCCTTCCCCTCACCTCACACCCACAACCCTCCTTCCCCCACCTCACTCCCCCAACCCTCCTCAGTCCTCAAATCTTCCCCATCCACCTCATGCCCTCAACTCTCCTCTCGCCATCTCACGTTCCCAAACCCTCCCCACCAACTCACCCTCAAACCCTCCTCCCCTCCACCCTGCACCTCTGGCTTTCAACCCTCCCCAGCACCTCACGCTCCCAAACCCTCCTCCCTCCAAGTCAAGCCCTCAACCCTCCTCCCACACCTCACGCCCCAAACCCTCCTCCTTTTACTTCACGTCCTCAAACCCCTCCCCACCACATGCTCTCAACTCTTCTCCCCACCTCATGCTCTCAACTCTTCTTCCCCTACTTCATGACCTCAACTCTCCTTCCACACCTCACATCCCCAAACCCACCTCATGCCCCCAAATCCTCCTCTGTCCACCTCACGCCCTCAACCCTCCCCCATCTCATTCCCCCAAGCCCTCCTCCCACCACTTCACGCCCTCAACCCTCTTCCCTAGCAACTCATCTCCCAAACCCTTTCCCTACCTCACTCTCTCAACCCTCCTACCCCCCACCTCACACTCCCAAACCCTTCTTCCTCCACCTCACGCCTTCAACCCTTCTCCCCTCACTTCAAGCTCTCAAACACCTTCCCCCACCTCATGCCCTCAACTTTCCTTCCCCTACCTCACACTCCCAAACTTCTGCCCACCTCACACATCCAAACCATCCTATCTCCACCTCACGCTCCCAAATCCTTCTCTTCCCTCTCTCACACACCACTGAGTCTCCCTCTCTCTTCCCTCCCAGGCCTCCAAATTCTCATCTCCCTCAAACTGCCTCCTGAGTTACACCGCATTCTCTTTCACCCTCTAAAACTCGCTCTTTTCCCTTAAAAAAGCTTCCCTCAAAATCCCCAAATTCCCGCGCGACCTCGGGCTCCTGGCTCCCGCAACTTACGAGAAGAAGGGGTCCTCCTCAAAGCTGCTACTCAGCATCCTGAACATTCTGGTTCTGTCTCAGGCGGCGGTAGCCGCGGACAGACTGGAAAAACGATGTTAACCCGCCGCGGCCGCGACCCGACCCAGCCTCCTGCACTGACGACGCCTCTCTAGCCGCGGCGCAGGAGGTGCTCGCCCGGAGGTGCGCGGCGCCGAGCCGCTTTCCTTTCTCATTGGACATTGTTCCGTGACGTCACCAGGAAGAGGCGGGGAACAATGCGCCGCTGCCCAGGCAACCGCGATCAACACACTGGAGGCGAGAACTTTGGCCTTGCGCCATGGGCAGGTTTTCGCCAAGGCTCCCGCGGGATGGGATAGCTTGTTCTCTGGGCTGCAGGAACCAAAACATTAGACCACCTTTTCTGTGACCTTGGGCATGTCTCCTTCGGTTCCGAGCCGCAAGTCTTTTTTTCGTGGAAAATGAAAATGGGTCAAGATTTGAACCAGGTGACACCCAGTGTCCCATTCGACTGTCTCATTCTGTCATCCACGGGAGTTAGTCTTGTTTCCGAAACATTCTCTGGTAGTTGGTCAAAAGCTGTGAGCAAATAATAGAAAAAAAAAAATGTGCAAAACGTTTTTTTTTAGTACAGTTAGCAAGTAGTGTATTTACTTCTTGCTGAAGGAAATGGGATGAAGGAAGCCTATCAGATTTCAACAAACTTTCACAGAAAGTTTGGTTCTCTTTCTGTGTCTTTATTTCGAAGATCAAGTCTCACTTCGATGCCGATATGTTTTTAACACTTCTTCAGCATTTCTTAACCTAACAGCAGAAGTTAAGTACAGGCCTGCAGCAAGCAGCCATATCCAACTAAAATTCCATTACTATATATTTTTGTTTTCATTACATTTATCAGGGAGCTTTCCTTTTATGGCAAGGAAACTGATTTTAAATTTAAAGCAGTGCTATACATTAAGAGCTAGATTTTACATTTTTAAGCGAAAAAGTAAGCTATCAAATAGAACAGGTGGGATTTGGATATGGTGGGGTGGAGGTGGGTAGGCAGAGCAGGGGAGGAGAACATCATGATAGTGGGACTCAAAGTATTAAGTTTTAGAAAACATTATCACGGGGTCTTTCAGGAGCCTGAAGACAGATGGAGAAGACAGAAGAGAGATTAAGTAAGGAGATGATAAGAGTATAAGAAAAGAGAAAATACATCTTGCATGTCCACCCTTAATTCAGTGGGCTCTCCAGCTTCTCTACCGGACTGTCTTGCAGAGAAAAAGGGGCACCCATAGCTCATCAGGGCCCCCTGGGATCAGGCCAGAGAGGTGGCATTCTGCCAGCATGAAGAAGTGTGCAGGGCCTGATTTGGAGGTGACAGGAGTAGTCAGGCGTTATTTTGGGAGCCGGAAATTTAATCCTTTGGACCTTTTACTCCCCACCCCCCTTTTTTAGCCAAGTTCTCTGGCACCTTCCTTCTCCTGAGACTGGTGACATGGGATAGGGCAGACTTCACAGCCCAAGATGAGATGGCACAGCCCATCCAGGGAAGAGCATATTTTCTTTTCCTCTGGACTCAGCATAAAGCTCAGAGAGAAGATACACAAAAATGTCTAAAATTTCTAAATAAATTTCAAGGCAAACAAAACTGTTTTATAAGACCTGAAATTGTTTTTCTCTTTAAAATAGTAAAAGCATGAGATGTTAAGGAGGACACACTTAAAAAAAAATTGAAATGGAGTAAGTTATGTGATAAAAGATAGAATTAAAATAGTTCTGGATTAAGGCTAAGAAAATTTGTAATGTTACCCTCTAGCTTCTATGGGAATTTTTCTTAGAATCACATTGTTAAAATAGAAAAGCTTCAGTCTAGGCACAGGTTAGTCAGGGAATTTTAGCTGAAGCTTCTGAATACAGTTTGGATCTAATGACAAATGACAAATGCAAAAAAAAAAAAAAAAAAAAAAAAAAAAAAAGGAAGACAGAGGAGAGTTGGCACTGAAGAGACCTTGACATCATTTTCAGAACTGATGAGTAAGAGATGGAAATGAAAGAAAGGGTGGGTCTGGAGAGAATGAATACCCCAGCATGGGAGCAATAGATATGCATAATAGGACTGAGAGGAAAGGGTCCTGGACTTGGCTGTAAATATAATCATAATAGCTAATATTTATTGAATGTGTGCCAGGCACTGTTGTAGGCATTCCCTATGCATTACCTCATTGAATCCTTATTAACAGTTATATGGAGATGGCTTTTATCCCGTGTATAGATGATGCATTCAAGACACAGAGAAACTGAATAAATTGCTAAGGTTCACACAGCTAGTCACACAGATAATTGAACTGAGCTGGGTACCTGGAGCTTTCCCGAGTGAGTGCTGGTTATATGGTATGTGAGTGATGAGTCATACTTAAAGATGCAGGATGAAAGCAGGCAATCATTTTTTTAAATGATGCCGACAAGCTAAATGGACCCAAACTAAAAACTACAAAATTCAGTGGAAATATATTCAAATCACATAAATTCAATTCTACAAATATTTATTGAGTGACTACCCAGTGTTGGGGACTGATCTGCACCTTAGACATCATTGAACGAAACAGACAAAAATCTCCTCCTTCCTGGAGTTTATGTTCTTGTAAGGACAAACTAAAACAAAATAGAAAATAGTATATTATATGGTGATAAGTGTTAGGGAGAAAAGCTGATCAGGGCAAGGAGTATGGAGAGGTGCAATTATAAATAGGAAGTTTCATGTATGCCTCACGAAGGTGGATTTGAGCAAAGACTCGTAGGAAGGAAGTGGATGTTTAGTGGAAAAGCATTCCAGACCAGTGCAGTCCTAAAGTAACATTTGCCTGGTGTGTATAATGTACAGTTCTACTCATATGCCTTAAAACTCACCTCCTGAGTGAGGAATGAGATGAGGCAAGTAAACTGAAAATTGCCTAGTAGGATAATAGCTCTCATTTACACTTCATATGTTCCAAGCATTGCACTAAGTGCTTCACATATATTTTCTCATTTAACGTTTACAACAACCATACATAATATGTTTATTCCTATATTACATATAAAAAAGCTGGGACCCAGAGATATTTGATAATTGAATTTTGATGATAATTGATTTGAAATTTGATAATTTGATTAAATTTTGATAATTGAAATTTGATATTACTCAATTCAAACCCAGATTTGTCTTATACCAAAGCCTATATTCTCACCACCATCCATACTTTGCCTCCCTTTTTAAAAAATTATTTATTGAGCAAATATGTGTGGTAAACACTTTTACATATAAAACTAGAACTACACTGTTGCTTAAATTTCATTTGGAAGGACACTGACCAAGGAAATATACAGAAAAGCATGAAACCCAAGCCAACTCTGCAACTCTATTAAAAACACCAAGACTTCAAAATGTAAATGATTTCATATTTCTTTCATTAATTCATCCAATACTTACTAAGGACTAGTAATATCCCAGATATTATTCTAGACGTTGAGGATACAAAACTCCCTGGCCTCTTGGAACTTACATTCTAGTGGACCGCTCTTTCACCAGCTAATTTTACAAATACTGTTGTTACAACATCTCAGAATTGTCAAAACGTTTCTGAAGACATTATCTCAAGTGCTCAAAAGAAAATAAACAGGCTCTTTCGTGCTGAACTTTTAATAATAGCTTTTCAAACTCATGAGTATTAGGCCATTGCAAACACCTTTACTACAGTTAATTTCAATGTGTCTAGGGTTTCGTTGTCCTAATCCCTTTGTCTTAAACAGTGCACAGAGATCCTCTCTAGGAGTGAGATGCCATAACGAACTCACAAGGGATTATGGGACAAATTTTGAGAGAAACTTGGCATGTGTTAGACATTGTGCAATGTACTCGTTTAGGGCAGTTCACATATTTCAATATTAGATTGCACTACATTGCTTTAGATGATGTCACATCATTGGAAAGGTAGGTTTTTGCAAGTTGCTGTGATGAAAATGTCAATGTGGAACAGGAAAGACTGCTGACAATATTCAGTCTGTTTCTAAGGTTTGAAAAATTGTGCTTTGCTAGGTAGGCACACATCTGTTAGTATGATTATTTAAGAATGATACAAAAATATGTTTCTTTCCATTTATGTGCATTATTTTTTAAAGTTGCTGAGTTTTTAGGTCAGAAATACGCTGTTTCTAACTTAATTATGCAATAACGAACCTATTCAGTATTTCTTTAGACCTAGGGAGCACAATGAAACAATTACTCAGGAACTAAGGGTTCATGAGCTAAGATAGTTTCAGAACCTCTCTCTAACCACACGATCTTCCTTTCAAATTAAAAAGAAATTTAAAGTATCATGCAGTCATTTTCTCAAAAATATATGTTTCATTTTACTTTTTGTTTTTACCTTCTTTCCAGTCAGCTGTCTTACCAGTCCTCTAACAGTTTTGCTTTATATCCTTTTGAAAGATGGGAAAATGGTGCATAGCAATTAAGTGACGTAAAGAGCATAGATCCTAAGGTCTTTGAACTCCCAAAAGGGCTGCCTCTAGTCCATATGGCATCTTTGCTTAAATTAGAAAAAGTGCCTCCCTCTCAAGATACTTCCATTAATGAAAAATTTGTCTTAATGAACATACAAGGCTGTAATGTATATGATTTGACTGGTGCTCCCCTAGGTGTTATATTCATGTTCATAGCAATGCTGTTCCTAATCCTGAATTCTTTCCACTACATAGGAGTTAATTGAGTGCCAAGCTTCATCCTCAAACTCATGTGCAAGAAATGTAATTTTATTTTCTTGCAATCGACCTTAATTTATCTTCTGGGCTTACATTCTACTGAGAGTCACCCTGTTTCCTCTTCCAGGGAGGCAATGCCCAGGTGTAGTTGCTTGCTATTCATGCTACACTCCTGAAGTCATCTTTATTGCCCTCACTGGGTAGGGCCAAGGGCACTAAACATCTCACTGTGTGTGGCACAGTCTGGCACAATGAATTGTCTTTCCTTAAATGCCAATAGCATGCCTCTACCTTTGAGAAATACACTCTTTAGAGCAAATATTTCCTCCAGTGAAGTAAAAATTTAAAGAAGACTTGAGTTAACAAAGAAATAAAGCAGCAGACTTTTAAGGTCACATTTACTTTTATAGCTTTTACCTGTATATGTGTATGCCTATGACTAG